GTAGCTGCCTTGTGAGGTTAGAGGACTGTTCTTCTTTGTTGAGTGTGTTGGAGGCATTTACACTACCATTGGAGCACCAAGGAGCCACTTTTGAGAAGAAAGAACTATCCTTGGTCACTCTATTTTCGTGCATTTTTCTTGGCAGAAGAGGAGTGTGGGTTTGTGACCTCTAAAGTCTCCCTTTTCCATTTTTTTGAAGCTTTGGGTATAAACCTTAACTCTTCTCTTTGAGTTTCTCTAAAAAGAATGGATTATTAACATGCAAAATGAAAGAACTAAGTAACCTTGATGAAAACTAGCATGAATATACATAAAATGGTAGTTTGGACTTTTTTTTTTGGAGTTACCCAACCCTAATTATCTCTTTGAGACGAGTTGGCTCCCTCCGGTATCCCCACGAGCTTCGACTTTTTGAGTCGGCTATGGGACTAATCCGGAGTGCGGGGGAACAGTGATGGCTAAAGGTTCAGCCCCCTAGTTTGGACTTTTGTTGTGGGTAAAAATTAAACCTTGTAGGAAAAACTCTTAAAAAATGTATTTTTGGAAAACTATCACAAAATATCCCGATATTGGAAAACCAATATCCGGATATTGATATCCCGATATGATATCTGGATATTGATATCCCGATATTCCCTCGGCAATATCCTGATATTTGGTCTGGACAACAACGAACCTATTTTACTAAAAATTTGATATCTCGAGCTATAGAGCTTCAAATTGAGTAAGGTTTAGACTTATGTGAAGCTAACAAATAGGGATACAACCCTGTAAATTTTTGTAGCCATTGGATAAGCATATTTCCCACAATTTAAGTTTCAAGCCACGTCTTGGTTGTTGGAAAGTCAATTTGCAGTAGTCATTTTGCGAAAAATATAATCGGAGTTATACAACTCCAATTGAGACATATAATATGTCGTTGAAAATATTGAGATGTCTAGTTTAAAAAATATTAAATTCATAGAATTTTTTATAAAAATTTGCAATTACAATTTTAAAAATGGTAAACAAGGTTTGTTGTGGTATTCTCAGTTAGAGTAGTTTCTTTTGAATGAATTTCAAGAAAATAACTTGTAAACTCTATTGTTCTAGTGAGTGGGGTTTTAAAAGTTATAGGACCCTAGGGAGTTGATCTAATTCCTCCCACCTTGAGTTGATGTCCCTACGTAAAGAATGATTACGTAAAAGACAATATTGAAATGAATGTCGTAAACAAGTATAATTGCTAATTGCCTTTATATTTTTGAAATAGGTTGTGATTTTGTGAGGGCCTATGATTGTGGTCCTTTGAATACTGAGAGTACATTGCATTATGTTGCGGATAAAGGTAAGCTTCGTATTCTCAGGGTTAATCCCTTGTTTGTTCCATCAAACTCTGTGGGGGTTTGGTTTATGTGCATGGTATATTTTTATGAAATGATATTACTTGGTGGATTTGGAAATGAAAGTTAGCATGACGTGTTGATATATATGTGTGGTGGTAATAGTATTACCCACACGGGGCAGGCTACGATCTGAGTGTAGGGCACAAGGGGGATGCCTTGTGTTTATGGTATGTTGCAGATGTGCATAGAGTATACCTTCTTTGGCCAGTATAATTGATTTATTAGCTATAACACACTATATATCTCACATGCTGCATATGATTTTATTATCCTGTTGAACTTATTATAACTGTAAGTGAACTTGAGGTGGAGTGATCCTTCGAGAACCCTAGTTTACTGAGATTGTTATCTCACCCTGTGTTTGAGGGATAACATTTCAGGTACTATGAGTATGATGTTGGAGCATCTCGAGGCAAGAGGCCGGATTCGAGTTGTTAGTATGATGTACACGCATTATGATCATGAGACATTTTGTTGTTGAGGCATGCTTATATTGACAGTATTTACTATGAGTATTTGTAGTGAGCATAGAGTGTGTCTATGCCATTTTGATGAGCATGTGTATATTTACAGATGAAAATGTATAGGTTTATGAGATTTATGTATTTATATTCATTTTGATCAAAGGATGTAATGATATATTGATCATGTTGGTTGTCATTTTGTAATATGATGTGTATGTGAGATCGCCTAAGCAACGAGTTCCTAAGTGTCACAATTTATGCATGTAATTGTTGTCTAAATCCCTTAAGATAGGATGATTTAGGTGTCAAGGAAGGCACTAGATAGCCTAATTAAACCACACATATGGTCAACACTTGTTGCATGCCTTAGGTAAGGACAACTAAGTACAAGATGAAGTGATATGGGGCAAAGGGTTGAATGCTAAATCCCCAACCTGAATAAAGATATTTGATTTCTCCACTTTCATAGAATATCCGGATATTGGTGATCTAATATCTGGATATGTCCGACAAATATCTAGATATTTTGGGCGAATAGAAGCAAAAATAAATGTTTAAAAAGAAATGCTTGTATACCTTATAGAATTTAAATTAGAAGGCTTAAATCCATCTCTACGGAGCATGGTGCTTTAATAAATGTTAAGGAAAATAAGAGTAGCTAAAATAAATAATTTAGATGTGATTGAATGTCTGAGTGTGTGGAATTGTTGAGACAATATGTTGGAAAGCGTTCTCCCATAGTTCATAATTCAAGTAGTGTGTAATTAAGCATAAAAGTAATTAGTAAATAAGGTAATTGGAAGAACAAGTAATATAGAATAAACTTAACTCGACATGCAAGTAACTATTATAAATTAATATAGAATGAAAAAAGTTTATTCACATTTTTACATGAGATTAATTATGAATTAAGATGATTAACTTTCGCATTTATTTGATTAATTAGTTACGCTTAATACCATTCTGATTTTAACAAACCGGGTCGACTTGGGGTGTTATAACTCTCTAATACCATTAGATCAGAATCTCAACTACCTTTATCATTTCTCTTTTCTATTAAGATTCT